GATCCCAATTGAAATTAAGCTCTCTGATATTACTAGTAATCATTTACTTGCTAAATTGGTTGGCCTTTTTTTAGTCTTTATCCTTTAACCACTCTGAAGAGACTCCAGTCTGGATAAATACTCTTCTAGATATTCATGACATTGCCCTGGTTTGATTCTCATACCTATATACATGGCCACTCCTCCTAGACCATTGCTGAATCACTACCCTTGTCTTTCTAAATGAAGGCATTGCTTCAGGATCTGTCCTGGGTCCTCTTCTATCTCTACATAGTCTCTTCTTGATAACCTCATTTGCTTTACATGGCATAGTGGACAAAGCAGTTGGAGTCAGGAAAACCTGACTGGGACTTGAAGTTAGGATGTTTTGGGTTCAAATCCTATCTGCTTCATATACTTATCACCTATATGACCTTGAGCAAATAATTTGTTTCCCTTGAGCAAATCATTTAACCTGTTTCTCAGTTTTCTCATCCATAAAATGGAGATAAGAGCACCCAGGGTTTCTGTGAGTATCATATAAAACACGATGTGTCAAGTTCTCTGCAAACTTAGCACTCGATAAAAATGATTGTTGTTATTACTAACCATCTTTATGCAGATAACTCTTAGATCCATATGTCTAGCCTGTCTCACTTCTGAACTTGAGTCCAAGATCACTAACTGCCTAGTGGATATCTCCTCCTGGATGTCCTATTGGCATCTTACACTCAATATATCCCAAATAGAACTCATGATCTTTCCTCTAACTCATCCTTTTTCTCAACTTCCCTATTTCAGTAGAGGGTACTACCATTTTTTTCAACTAACCAGGTTCATAACCTCAAAGTAAGTTAACCTGTACTTTTCGGTCTCTGTCAACCCCATATCCAACTAGGTCCCAAGTCTCATCAGTATAACTTCCACATCAGTTCTCCTTTCATTTCTTTGTATCTCCTCTGCTGACTACCACTCTAAATTCTCATTATTCTTTTACCTGTACTTTAACAATGGCCTCATAATTGGTCTCCCTTCATTCAATCTCATTCCTTTCCAATTCATCCTCCACATAGCTTCCAACTTAATATTCCTAAAGCACAGGTCTGTCCCTGGTATTCCTTGCTCAAGAAGCTTAAATGCATTCTTAATGGCCTTTTGGTCAAAATATAAAATCCTAAATCTGGTATTTAAAACCCTCAACAATATGGCTTCAACCTACTTTTCTAGTCTTAATGATTCTTCTCTCCTTGCATTCCATGTTCCAATCAAAACAGCTCATTGACTCTTCCCCATATTATGACATTCCATCTCTCGCTTCCATGACTTTGAATAGGTTCCTCACATCCAGAGTGTTCTCTGTCCTCATCCCTGCCTCTTCCTTCCTTCAGAGCATGGTTTGTGTGTCATCTCCAGCAAGAGGCCTTGCCTGACTATGTTGGTAATTCTCTTCCTCTTGAGATCACTCAGTATAACTTTACATTTACTTCAGTCAATCCACAAACTTAATTCAGTGCCTATTCTACATTATCTGCCACTATTTCAGGCCCTCAGTATGAAAAGAAAAAAGTGAGAGTTGGTATCCTCCAGGAATTAAAAATCTATTGGGGAAGATAACACATACATATATAGGTACACAGAAAATAGAATGTTCCAAAAGTCCTAGCACAATTTGAAGTTATTAAATTGCACTAAGACTTTGGGGATACCCTAACTAAACAAAATAAATGTGTAATTTTTACTTATAATTCAAATTCCTCCAGCAGAATTTAAGTGTGCACCTCTCTGAGTGCAAAGGCTATATATGTGGTTATTTCTTATCTTCAGCACAGTACAAAAGAATACGAAAGATCACTTTGGTACTCTTAGCAAAAATAGGCCAAAAGAGCAACTCTTAAAGTATATGCTTACTTTGTCTCCATAAAATTATTATGAAGATAGTCTCTGCACACACTGAGGAACTGCAGATAGAAAATGAGTTTTATTTCCCAAAAAAGAAATATGGACCAGATTGCATTAGAGACTTTGGAAGCTGTTCAATAGCTTCCAATAATCCCCAACCACTTGCTGCATGTAAATACCTGTATCTTAAACCCTAATATTCTCCAAGATAACATGAGCTGAGCCTTAAAAAATAATTAAGGGTTTCAACAGAGGTGATGGGATCATAATATCATAGCTCTGGAATTGCATGGGCCCTTAGAAATCTTCAGATCCAACCATCTTACAGATGAGGAAAATAAGGCACAGAAAGTTTAAGTCACTTGTCCATGCTCTCCCAACTAGTAAATGTTTGAGGAAAAATTTGAACTCAGGTCTTGTTACTCTAAATCCAATGCACAACACCATATTGCCCTCCTTGAAGAGAGGAGAAAGAACATCCCAAGCATGGTAGAAACCTGTACAAAAGGCAAATGATATATCATGAGAAGGAAACATCAAATAGTATGTTCTGGTTGGAATGTAAATAGAAGAAAGATGTAATCAGCCTGGAAAGTCAGGCTAGAACTTAGTTTCAACTCCCCATTGGTCCCTTCCCCTTTCCCCATTCACGTGTGTGTTTTCCTCCTTTAGATTGTAAGCACTTTGTGGGCAGGGATGGTCTTTGTTATCTCCAGCCCAACAGTAGTTGGCACTTAAAAATGTTTATTGAATTGAACTGACTGTAAAGGGCTTTTAAAAATGCCAGACAGAGTCAATAAGTAGCCACTAAGAGGAGTGTCCTAGAGGACCTAGAGGGCCACATGTGGCCTCAAGGCCACAGGTTCCCCACCCCTGCCCTAACCCATATTTTCCAATTCTTTTTCTTTGGTTTCAGGACTAGGAAGATCTACAATTATTGTTCAAAAGCATTTTAAGAATCAAATCAGGAAGAATTAAACTAAAATTTATTCTTAAATAATCAGAAGATAAAAGAATTGAAAAGTGGCATTAGCACATATGGTAACATCAACAACCTTCACTAAATAAGTGTAAATGGAGCTATCAGAACTATTACAGTGCTGAAGATTGATTGCTACTGTAGAATCCTATGTCCTCCAGAAAAATAAAAAAATCTTCATCTTCAAATCAGTTATTGAATATGAACAGTATATATTACATCCAACCCTTCATTTGTCTCCTTTTTCTAGCATTACTTCTTATTCCTTCATGGATGATGCTTTTGCCCCCTTTGGTCAATGACACCAGCAGAGATTCATGAAGCTTTTCATGTATCTATGAACACTGATCTCTGTGCCTTTTGTGGGGTCATTCATTATCTCAATTAGGAAGATCCTCTCACTTCACATTATCTAAATTATCTTCCTTCCTCAAGACAAAAACAAAAAATAAAACCTTTTCAAATCCCACCTTCAGGAAATACTCCAATTAAAAAAAAACTATCAACATTTCAATTCCATGTTCAAAGACTCATCAAGGTCTTCTTTTCCTACATGTCCATCCTGTACAGTCAATAAAATTTACATTTATTAAGCACCTACTATGCGCCAAGCACTGTATGTAGTATTATTAGAATTATATCAAATTCATCTTAAGCACTATTATGCACTGCTTAGTACCATATTACCCAGATAAACCTACATCAGAAACATTTGACAACAAACATTATTTAACATGATATATTTACACATATATGTTACCCTGTGGTGTGTTTCTCTCTTTTTTCTTAAGGAAAGTTCTTCAAAGAGAACCAAGGTTTAGTCTTTGGTACAACATACATTCATACTTAGGACCATGCTATGGAATGGCCCTTATAGATCAACTAATCTAGCTCCACTTTACAAAGGAGCAAATTGAGTCCAAAGAAGTCAAGTAATTTGCCCAAGGTGACACATGGTAGTAAGTGAGAAAGCTACAAAAGGTCACATTAATAATAATTCTGTACAGTTTACAAAGCACTTTCATAACAACAAACTTACGAGATATATAATAAAAATTTGCCTCATTTTACAGATGAAGAAGTTAAGGTCTTCTCACCCCAAAATCAGTATTTTATCCATTACACCATAGGAACCTGAACAAAGAGTACACACATGCTGTAAGAACCCCTTCCCTAATTGCTCAGCTTTTCATTCCCCTTTCTGAATTCCTTTCCCAGCAGAGTGATACAGTTCCCAGGTCCAAGGATCAGAGCATCATTGATTCAGTGCTGGAAGAGACATTAAATCTAGTTCAATTTTAAACGAAAAATAAAAATTGAATTCCAGAGGGACCATGACTTAAGAATGGTAAATGATTCAAACCCAGCTCCTCTGACTCCCAATTTTAAAAAAAGGAAAAAAAAAAAAAACCTCTTTCCATGCTACTGTGCTGATTATGCAGGAAAACGTGCACCTTTGGGAAGTCATATCCTCAAACCCCTCCCTGGAGGCACTTCTATAACGGCTGGCTACAAACCCTAACTTTGGTGCCTGTCCCCCTTCCCCACCTTCCTCTTTGCCCCAAGAAGCAAAAGGAACAACTGAAAGACAATTCAAATGGCCCCTTTCTTCCATGTCCCCCAGGAAAATCACTCCCCGATCCCCAAACCCCTTTTTTGGCTATACGAAGTAGTCAAACCTTTCCAAAGCTCTTGCCCCCCTCCCCAGATTATCAAAACCTAAACCTCCATTTCTCCTTTCCCCAGAAATCCCATCTTCCTCGAAGACCATTCTACCCTCCCCAGCCCCTAGACAACCTCTCTTCCCAGAAGCCCTCATTCTCCTCTTTTGTGCAGGGAATACCATCCCCTTTCCTTCCAAAAGGGTGCTCAGCAGGGGGGACCACACACTTCCTCCCGAGAGGGGAGGGTATGGGGGGGGGAGGCTCGTCCGACGCGAGCTCTCAAAAGGCGCATGCGCCCCCATTCGGCGCTCAGAGCCGGAGCGCGGGCGCCGCAGGTCGAGCGCATTGCGGGTTTGGGGGAAGCAAGCTAGAGGAGGGAGGGGGGATTCTCCAGCGTGGAGCGGGGATCTTAGGGGGCTGCGAAGGCGGCTGGGGGGCAGCGGCCGCCTGGGCAGGAGACCAGGCAGGGGGTGACTTACAATTTCAGCATCCACTCCCCCTCCAGCACCAGGGTCCAGTTGGAGGAGGTCATAGCTCGGACCCGACTGTGCTCCTCCTGCCCTGCCGCTGCCGAAGGGAGCCCGGCCATCGCCACGGCCACCGCCACGGCCACGGCCACGGCCACGAGGCGTGGGGCCCCAGGCCCCCGGGCCTCCCTGGCGCTTGGGCCGGCCATGTTGAAAGGCAGGAGGGAAGACAAGCTTTGAAAGTCAGGAAGTGAAGCAGAGGCTGGCTCTGCGGCGGGGAGGGGGGCGGGCTCCGGTTTTTTCTCCCTCCCCCCCGCTCACCACCTCAGGCCCCCACCCTTTTCTCCCTTTCTTTTTTAAGGTGGTCTGGAGAGATTCTCCGATTCCCCAGCCTCTTAACCTGAGCGGAGGGTCCCCCAGGTTGGATCTTTGACCAGACCAAATCGGAAGGAAAAGCCGAAAAGCCCAGGCCCCCTCCCCCGCAGCCCCTAGTCTCCATCCTCTCAGCCTCGAGGTCTTTCCACGCCTTCTTTTCCTTTTCACTTGCTTTTGGGCTTGGGGTGGTTGCCATAGCAACGAGCGCCCTTTCCTCCCCTCCTTTTGATGGTTGCCACAGCCGAAAATAAACCGATGAGCCAACGTGCTTTTATTAAAAGAGAAGCTTTCGTGGTGGCTCCGCAGTGGAGGAAGGGTGTGGGGATTTTTTTTTTGTTGTTGTTGCGGCTGTTGTATTGGGCCTTTGGAGAGAAAGGGAAAAGGCAAACAGAAAATTGCCACCAGCCAATCTTCAGTACGGAATTGGCAAACAAAAACAGCTACCTGTAGTAGGATTTTCATGTTGCTGTTGAAATATTGGGCATTCGTTGCTGGAGGGAACATGAAGGTCATTTTTAACTTGGTATTTTAAAAATCTGGCTAGTACAATTCAATAGGTCTAAGAAGAGTACTGTCAGTGAAAAAAATGACAGGCTCTTTTAAAAGAAATGCGGTTGTATTTATGTGAGCTAAACAGATTGATCTTTGATATCACACTTTTATTCGTGGACTTCGTAACAGGTATATATTACACTAAGGATTTATGGAGTACTAAACTGGATAACCTACCACTTTGCCTAGCATGGTAGTAGCTGCTTTAAGTAATAATAACCAAGGTTATGTCCAACCTGAAAATTTACAGAGCATTTTGCTTGTAGTATTATCACCATTTTGCAGAGGAAGAAACCAACTGAAAAAGATTAAATGACTTCAGAGTTGGGCTTCTAATCTGGTTGCCTGCTTGGTACAAACTGAGAAGTTAATGGGGTCTACAGTCATCAAGAAAGGAGTTAGAGAAACTAGTAAAATGTAAAGTGGACTTTGAAATAAATAGGATAGACATTTTAGGAATCAAGAATCATTCAGTGAAGGTAGGAATTGTGAAATATTTAATACTAGAGTTCTGAGGTCATTTAGTATAACTGCCTGCCTTTTTTCTTGGAATCCATTTTATCACATCAGTCTGATCCATTCTCTTCTTGAATATAACCAAGGAAAAGGATGTTGCTTATTTGGCGGGATGATCTGTTAACTTATTGTACAATCCTGATAGATCTGCTTCCCTATAACAGTTCACTTTAGTTCTGCCCTCTAAAGTAGGAACAAATTTACCCTGTCTTATACAAGTTTGCTTTTCAAATATTTGAATCCAGTTATGTTTTTCCTTACTGTCTCTTCTGTTCAATTCAGCAAACATTTTTAAAAGTGCTCTATGTAGAGAACACTGCCAAAGGCTAGGAATACAAAAATAAAAATGATTCCTTCTCTGAAGGAGCTTACATTTTAATATGAGGATTTCTTATCTTCACAGATTTGTAGTTAGTAATTTCTGAATACAGCACTAACAAATGGGGAATCAGGAAGGTGTTGGTAAAGGAAAGAGCAATTGAGCTGAGCCTTAATGGAAGCTAGCATTATGAGAAATGAAGGTAAAGAAGCAGAGCATTCTTATGCAAAGGCATAGAGATGGGAGAATTTTTCACTGGAGGATAATTAATAATGCACTCTTGAAATGTGGTATGTACTGGAGAGGGCACTAAAGGTAATAGGAAAAGGGAGAGCATTCCTTGAACCAGAAAAATTACTTAAAGAATAGGTGACACTCTTGGCCACAGTGCTGGGAGTCATAGCTCAGAAGAGTAAGTTAAAGCTGTTGCAAGATTAAAGTCGAATTTAAATAACTATAAAGGGACATCCACTGTTCGTGAATGGGTCTGATGAGATAAAGATAGGAATATACCAAAAAATTAAATTTTAAGATAAAATTAAAATGTCAGTGACCTTTATGGACTTAGATAAAATCATATTAAAGCTTATATGGAGAAAGTAGTAGGCAACTATCTAAATTAGGAGTACTCTGAAGAGTTGAAGGTAGTTTTACACACTTAGATTTTTAAGATATAAAGCAGTTTGCAGAGCTATCTGGCTCAGGAAACAAAATGGAAAATTAGATCAACAAACTTAGAGATACACCAGAGAGGTGACAAAATGTTCACGAAAAATTAGTGTTTGATAAACCTGTAGAAAGTTTTAAAAAAATCTTGGGTTAAAAATTCATCTTTTAACAAATATACTTAGGCAAAATAACAACCAGGTAGGAAAGGCATTTAGATCTACATCTTATATCATGAAACTCCAATAAATTCCAGCTGGATGAGATTCTTAAACATTAAAATGGAGTAAAGCATTTATTTCAATCATGCAGTGAAAACTGAGTTCTATTATTCAACAAAAAGGCAGCTATTAGGGAAAATACTGCTATACTTGACTGAAAATAAATCTTGTAAGACATTTGGAACTAAGATGGAAAAATACTACAAATGACATTAAAAATTTGACAGTGTAGGAAGAATTGGTAATAATTCCATATTCATATTGCAATAAACAGTTTTTAAAAGAGTATAACTATTAAAAGAAAACTGATAATTTGAAATACTCAATATCACTAATAACTAATAATAACCTAAATGAATAATCACTAATATCTTTATATACAATTTAAAACCTTAAGGTACTGCTTCATACTCAGCAATGGGAAAAACAAATTTAAATAAATTAATCACAGAATTTAAAGGACTTAAATAGCTATCGAGTACAATCTATAAAAAAGAATCCCATGCTGGTAAATGGTAAACTAGCCTTTGAAGGCCTCACCAGGTAAAACTGCTGAGGTTGTGGAAGAAAAAGTATATTCAACTATTGCCAGTATACTAATAAACTTGTAGAAGCTTTTTAGAGAGCAATCTGGCATTACATAATGAAAGTTGCAAAAGTAATGATAGCCTTTGACTGTATCTAATTATTTCATTGTTGGCAATATAGGTTGGAAGTTATTACTGAAAACCAAAACAAAAGCTAAATCAGGACTGGAATTCAGGAGAGAGACTGATATGGAAAAGTCTAGATCTGGTATTGATCTACCTGCTGAACTAAAGATAATGAGATCACCAGTGGTTTATTAAAGAAAGAAGAGATCCTAGGACAGAGTTCAAGAGTACACTAAAGGCATATGTCTTAGGACAAGGACCAGTAAAGAAGACTGAAGGACATCAGCCAGAGAGCAATGTCATGGAAACTTGAAGCGCTTAGCAGTGTGTAATCAATATCAAATGTTGCGAAGAGGAAGAAAGATAATAGCCTGGAAAAAGGTCATCAGATTTGGCATTTCATAGTTCCTGAAGGTTCAATGCCTAGACAGTTGATAAACATTAAACACCAGTTATTTGAGATATGGTGCTAAACTCTGGGGATAGCAAGCAAAAGAGATTCCCTGCACTCCAGGGAGGACTTCATCATCTGATGGGGAAGACAACATGCAAGCAAGTGTATACAAATAAGACAATATATATAATGGGTGAGATATATATATATATATATATATATATAGCTAGGTGGCTCAGTGGATAGAACACTGTCCCTGAAGTCAGGAGGACCTGAGTTCAAATCCAGCCTCAGACATATAACACTCACTAGCTGTGTGACTCTGGGCAAGTCACTTAACCCCAATTGCCTCACCAAAACAAAACAAAACAAAAAAATAACAAACGGACAATATATAGGATAAATCTGAAATGATAACAGAGGAAAGGTACTAGAATTTAGAGGGATAAAAAATTACTATAGAAGTGTTGGGATTTTATCTGGAACATCAAAGAAACCAGATTGTGGAGGTAAGGCAGAGAGAAAATTTTTATACATGGGAACAGATTAGAAATGCCCAAGGTGGGGATTTGGAATATTTGTATCTTGTTCAAGGAGCAGCAGGAGACCTAGTCAGCAGAATACCTGGCACGTCATAGGAGCTTAATAAATGATAGTTGACTGACTCTGGATGGGAGTAGAATTGAGTGAGGGATGAGCCAGAGGACTGCTTTTTCTGCTAGCTGCTTTTTGCTTGCTTACTGCCCTGCCAATGATTCTAATCATTTGCTCCATGTGGCTTGCACATCTGCTAAGCTGTATGAGATTGCCACTCTTCCCTTCTTGTTCATCACTAGTAGAGTGGAGTCTTGGGCAGCATGGAGAGAGGCTCCTTCATTTCCTATTCATCTCTGTCCTTTTGTCTCCCACCCCTTTGAATGTCTGCCCTACCTCATCATTTGTAATTTTTACCTTATTTGGCATACATGTGTTTAGTAGTTGGTTGTCCAGACCATATGGGAAAACAGTGGGTGAAACCAGTGCATGGCAGAGTTGACAACTGGTCAGCTATGCGTAGAATCTTTTTAACTGTCTTCTAGAATCTTAACCATTTTGTTATTCTCCATAAATTAGGCCAACATGGTCTTTATGTCCCACCTGGCTAATAATGGCTTTGTTATGGGCTATTCATCTGCCTTATGAGATGGGAGACATGTTAGCCCCTACTTCTGATACTGGTAGATTCCAGAATAGATATGTCTGAATCAAGTCGAGCTAGAATTATAAGATTTTTGGATCAGAAGCATGTTGAAATCATGTTTCATGACCTGATATGTCATGTTAAGTCCTATTTCTCTCATCAGTCTTCTTGCCTATATCTGGGTGAGGTTAGGCACCACATTCTAAGCAGTTAGACTCCCCTGTTGACTAAGCCCTGTTGACATCCAGTTAATTTTTCTGCTATGTGTCAATCATGTCTTTGGCCAAGTTCACAGTAGGTAGTCTCATCTGATTAGCATGAGCCACAGTGGTATCTAGTTGAGTTAGT